GCCCCCCCCGGCGCCCCGAAGTCGCGCACGAGGCGCCGCGCGCGCGCCCGCTCCGGGGGGGCCACGAGCGCCTCGAGCGCCCCCAGGAGGCGGCCCAGGGTCACCCCCAGACTGGGCAGGGGGGGGCGCGACCCCCCGGGCACTGCCTGAGCCGGGGAGAAGGGTTAATTAGCGGTAATTAGGGAGTTATGGGTCACTGAACCCGAATTAACGGGGCTGCCCCCCCGTGGGAATGAACGGGAACCCCCCAATTAAAGGGGTTCGGGTGATTAATGGGACCCCCTCCCCAATTAAAAGGGTTCGGGTGGTTAATGGGACCCCCCCCTCAATTAATGGGAACCCCCAATTAATGGGAACCACCTAATTAACGGGGATACCGGCAATTAACGGGGATACCGGCAATTAATGGGGTATCGGTAATTAACGGGGATATTGGAAATTAACGGTGTATTGGTAATTAATGGGGTATCGGTAATTAATGGGATATCAACAATTAATGGGGAAATCCCTCATTAACGGGCTGTGGGTGACGAACCCCCGTCGCTAATTACGGGGCTGTGTTTAATGAGGGGGGGTCCCCAGGAGCCGGCCCAGGGTCACCCCCAAACTGGGCGGGGGGGGGCGCGACCCCCCGGGCACCGCCTGAGCCGGGGAGAAGGGTTAATTAGCGGTAATTAGGGAGTTATGGGTCACTGAACCCGAATTAACGGGGCTCCCCCCCCGTGGGAATGAACGGGAACCCCCCAATTAAAAGGGTTCGGGTGATTAATGGGACCCCCTCCCCAATTAAAAGGGTTCGGGTGATTAATGGGACCCCCCCCTCAATTAATGGGAACCCCCAATTAATGGGAACCACCTAATTAACGGGGATATCGGCAATTAACGGGGATATCAATAATTAACGGGGATATCGGCAGTTAATGGGATATCGGAAATTAACGGGGTACCAGTAATTGATGGCATATTGGCAATTAACGGGGATATCGGTAATTAATGAGGTGGGGGAAATTAACGGGGATATCCATAATTAACGGGGTATCTGCAATTAACGGGATATCGGCAATTAACGGGATATCAGCAATTAACGGGATATCGGCAATTAACGGGGTGTGGGGAATTAACGGGGATATCCATAATTAACGGGATATGGGTAATTAATGGGGTATTGGGAATTAACGGGGATATCGGCAATTAACGGGCTGTGTGTAATTAACGGGAATAGCCATAATTAACGGGATATGGGTAATTAATGGGGTATTGGGAATTAACGGGGATATCAACAATTAGCGGGGAAATCCATAATTAACGGGCTGTGTGTAATTAACGGGACATCGCTAAGTAACGGGCTGCGGGTAATTAACGGGAATAGCCATAATTAACGGGATATGGGCAATTAACGGGGATATTGTCAATTTACGGGGATATCGATAATTAACGGGATATCGGCAATTAGCGGGACCGCGCAATTAACGGGGATATTGGCAATTAACGGGCTGGGGGCAATTAACGGGAATTTCGGCAATTAACGGGCTGTGAGTAATTAACAGGCCCCCCCCCAATTAACGAGGATATCGGTAATTAACAGGATATTGGAAATTAATGGGGAAATTAATAATTAATGGCATATCGGCAATTAACGGGACCCTCCCCAATTATCGGGGTACACCTAATTAACGGGGTATCACTAATTAACGGGGTATCAGCAATTATCGCGGACCCCTCCCCAATTAACGCGAATCCCCCCAATTAACGGGACCCTCCTTTAATTAATGAGACCCCCCCCCCAATCACTCGGGACCCCTCCCCAATTAACAGACACCGCTCTAATTAACGCAGACCCCTCCCCAATTAACGGGACCCCCCTAATTAACGGAACGCTCCCCAATTACCGGAGACCCCTCCCCAATTAACCGGACCCGCCCCCAATTAAACAAGACGCCCTAATTAACGCGGACCCCCCCCAAATTAACGGAGACCCCTCCCCAGTTAACAGAGACTCCTCTAATTAAAGGAGACCCCTCCCCAATTAACCGCGACCCCCCCAAATTAACGGAGACCGCTCTAATTAAGGCGAACCCATCCCCAATTAACAGAGCCCCCCCCCAAAATCACTCGGGACCCCTCCCCAATTAACAGGGACCCCTCTAATTAACGGAGACCCCTCCCCAATTAACGCGGACCCCCTGAAATCACTCGGGACCCCTCCCCAATTAACAGAGACCCCCCAATTAACGCGGACCCCTCTAATCAACACGGACCCCTCCCCAATTAACGGAGACCCCGCAAATTAACGGAGACCCCTCCCCAATTAACAGAGACTTCTCTAATTAACGGAGACCCCTCCCCAATTAACTTAATTAACGTGGACCCCTCCCCAATTAACCGCGACCCCCCCAAAATCACTCGGGACCCCTCCCCAATTAACGGAGACCCTACTAATTACCGCAGCCCCCTCCCCAATTAACAGGGACCCCTCAAATTAACGGAGACCCCTCCCCAATTAACTTAATTACCGCAGACCCCTCCCCAATTAACCGGACCCTCCAAATCACTCGGGACCCCTCCCCAATTAACGCGGACCCCCCAAATTACCGCAGCCCCCTCCCCAATTAACGCACACCCCCTGAAATCACTCGGGACCCCTCCCCAATTAACAAAAACTCCTCTAATTAAAGGAGACCCCTCCCCAATTAACGCGGATCCCTCTAATTAACGCGGACCCCTCTCCAATTAACGCGGATCCCTCTAATTAACGCGGACCCCTCCCCAATTAACGCAGACCCCCCCCCAGAATCACTCGGGACCCCTCCCCAATTAACGCGGACCCCTCTAATTACCGCAGCCCCCTCCCCA